TATACAAAACGCTCGACACTCGATAGCCAAGACGAAAAATTCTCGCTACAGCATGAAAGAATATCAGAAATATATAATACAGAACACTCAAAAATCGATGGCCCAAACAAAAAGACTCGCTATCGCCTAAACAAATAGAAAGGGAGAAGTATCCTTTTCTTTTCTCACTCGCACTCGCATTCACGACCGAGAGACTCCAAGATAACGCACACTAGCTCGCTCGCGTGTAAAAACCAACGAAGAAGCGTGGCTTGCCCTCTTTCTTACAATTACCTTTCATCTTCATTTTCTCGCTTATATTTGCAAATACGAAGATACACCTTAGAACATTTTTTATGTATTTTTCAATTCTCTACAACTTTTGTTTGAAACTTTTTTTCGATTTAATGCCTAGATTCTAAGATACGGCCGTTTTTTACCCTTTTTTACCCTTTTTCTCAAAGATTTCCTGATCCAATTGCACAAAAATTAGCACCATTCGATTCAGCGTCATCGAATTACCCCATTATATCAAGTTTTTAGCCGGGTGCCCAAAAAGTCGGCAGTTTTCCTGTTATTGACTGGACTATTAATACAACATTAATTGTAATCTGATTGATCATTATTTGTGATTTGTTTTATTTTCATTTGTAAATAAAAATAAATATATATTTGAATTTAATTTGTTTAATTGGGCAAGATTAAATGAAATTCTATCTAAATTCTCAAAAGAAGAATAAATTATTACAATAAAACGATCCCCTCGTTATTAACTCCTGTTATTAAATAAACAATTAACGTAAAATTATAAAAAAAAAAAATAACAATAAGAAATAAAATATAATATAATTGAATATCTCCAATATTAAAAATTAAAATTATTCAATTAATATCTACTAGAGATTACTTTTTAGAAAGCACAAAATAATAATTTTGTCCACAGCTCAAACAACTTTCCATTTAAGAGAGAAAATAGTGTCCCATGTATATTGAACTCTTCTTGCGAGTAACGTTGAACGATCGTAATCGTGATCGTATTATTAAGTACTATACTTCGAAAATTTCGTCGAACGTGTATCACAGTCGCACTTTCACGCACGTGCACAACCTTTAACATCATTTGTAATTTTAACTAACACTATTATACACGATATATATATAGTTATTCGATAAAAAAATTACTTTATATATATATATAAATTCTCGAACAAATTTTTATTTTTTTAATCGAACACGACGGGATAGTTATTATTTATTTATTTATTTTTTTTTTTTTTAATAAACGTTACACAAAATTAAGAAAAAAATGATCGATCGATGTGAATAAAACAAAATAAAAAATGGATAATACATCGTTTAAACAGAACATTGTCTTTCCCATATACGTAATACAAACAATCTATTATAAATTACGAGTAATTCTTATAAAATAACTACTTACGTGTGTGGATTTTATTTGTTTCCAGAAGAGAGAGAGAGAGAGAGAGATTAAACGATAAGATTTATAAAAATAAGGATGATCAGTTTTACTCAATGATTATTCTCGAGGAGTAAGAAAATCCTTTGGAAAAAATAATAATAATTAATCGCGATGTGAATATAATAATTACACTTATTTACAACGTCAAACTATCTACGACTTATGTACGACTGTACCAGTAGAAGAAACATTTCTATCTACTTTGAAAAGGATGGATCCTCTCGTTACAAACCTAATGTAAGCCCCTCTCTCCCATACGAGTCATGGATTCACAGGTAAGAACGAGACTCACATACGAGTGTACAACATCAAGCTGCTAACAGATGGGTGGTCTTAACTGTATACATACGTGTACACGTATGCACACACATATACACATTCGTATAGACAATGTATACGGTATAGGTTGGAAAAAGTATGGCAGACAGAATCCAAACGTTTTCACAACGTTCGCATGGTAACACTCCGATTTCGTGATTCGATATCCCCAACTTGATACTCTATTCTTAACGGAAAAGTATAATACTTTTTAACTATTTTTTTTTTTAATCATTATTTTTCGATTGGATAGTATTTTCCTATTTTTTTAAATAAAAATATCAATACGTATTGCAAGTGATCAGACAATGTTACATTGATTAATATATTATATATTATAATGTATATATTGTTTATTATAATTTATTATACTCTATTATATTATTTTTAAGTATTTTATAGTTATTATTTTATTATAATATATAGAGAATATTTGCGAAAAAGATTGTCATTATATACTAGTTATTTATTTTACAAGATATTGAACAATAATATGTAAGAATATTAATCAAATTAATATGAGTACGTATAGATGAATTTTTTAGTTCATTTGAAAAAAAAAGGAAGATACAATAAACATTGCAATTGAAATAAAATGATTTAACATACTATATTACCTAAATCGATAAATTATATTCATCTATTTACTGGCTTAAAATTTTAAATTCTAATGATAATTGTGTATTTGGAAACACACACAACGTACATAAAAATAGATACTTATTTACTTTCATACCATACCAAACGTTTCTAAAAACATTACTGATACACGATGAAAGTCTAGAGAATTGTTCATTTAATTCTTACCTTGCTATCCGTAATTTTACCACACCCATTATAATTACAGTTATTAATGCATTTATTAAAATCACTAGAAATTTGTATGCGTATGTATATTTGTATGTATGTATGTATGTATATATGTATATGAATCCTGGTCAAGGGAAACTTTATATTGACTAATTAAAAAAAAAAAACAATTAAATGAAAGAACAAAGATATATCAATGATATTATGTGTATATGTATGTATATATATATATACATAACTTATTATTAATTATTACAATTATTTCATTAATTTCGTCGTTATTTTCGTTTCCTTGAAAAATATCGATTTCTTCTTAAATTTGGTCGTCCTTGCTTATAACGTCCCATATAATCTTTCATTATGTTTGGTATATTTGCTATATTAGATATATTAGGTATATTTGGTATATTAGGCATAAACGGTATGTTAGGCATAAATGGTATGTTTGGCATAAATGGTATGTTAGATAAATTAGGTATATTAGGTAGATTAGGTATATTAGATATTGGCGTTCTCTGAGACGGATCGAAAGATAACGAATAGTATGATAATCGAATTGGTGGTCGATGATTATGTCTATCTTGAGACATTAAATTAGGACAGGAAATATTATTAATTGACATGTCGAACGAGGATAACTTTTCCCTAAAAAAAAAAAAAAGAAGAAAAAACAAATTACTGCAAATTTTTTGCGAAAAAAAAAATGTATATAGTAACTATTAAATATTTCTTTCACTATTTACTAACGTAAAAAATAACTTACTTATCTTTGCCACACTCACACCCATGTTTTACTCGGTAACGAACTTTGCACGGCAAAATGGGACTAAGCATCCTGTAATAAAAGATGACGAGATCATTTTTCAAAAAGAAATACACATAATTCATTATGCTAACGTTTACATAAATATATATATATGCACGCGTACCATTGATTTGCTTGCAAATGCGGAAATGACTGTGACTTAGAAGATGTCGGCTCACAATGATTCCTTGGAAAAAAGAATAATAAAAAGAAAAATTATTCGTTTGAACTTACGACTACATTCGAATAAAAATTTCGATCGGCAACATTTTTTTTGTGCATGAAAATAAAATAAAATTACTTGGAACTTATTACTGTTTTTTTTTTTTTTTTTTACGTAGAAGAAAATTCATACAAACTTACGTAACGGTTGACAAACGATGAGAATTTAATTTCTTGTCAATTTTTTTATTATTATTATTTTTATTATTATTACTATTATTATTATTATTATTATTATCATCATTATTTTTTTGTTTTTTCTTACGATCCTTACGTTCCTTAGCTTCTTTTATCTCTTTTATCTTATGTTTACCGCGTTTAATGAGACTGTTACTAAGAAAAATGTTACATATAATATTATAACGGTATTATTAAAATTAACGTGTTAAATGATGCACTTACTCGTTGACAGGTGTGTCCTCGTTTGATGTTTTTCGTGATACGTTAACTTTGTTCACGGTACATCGACGCGCATCCTTAGCGCATTTCAAACAATTCGTGCCAAACATTTCGTCGAATTTCTTACGAGAGTATCTGTCCTTGGTTCTAAATAATTACGAATAATATCGTTCGTTTAAATAAAACAAAAAAAAAAGTATCTTTATTCGTCCCAGACTTCTTTAAAGATTATTTTACATATTGAAATGTGCAAATGGGATATATACGAATGTATGTAACATAAATGAATATACGAATTTTGAAACATCAAAATTGAAGGTTAAGCTTACAATTCAAGTGCAATGGCACACCAGAGACATGCGAGACAAGCACAACTGCAAAGTGCAAAGATTTCCAGCATTTCGAGAAAAAGATCGAAATGTTTATTTCAATCCAGAGATTGTCTGTTTAATTGTTATTATTCACGCAACCTGACGTTGCGTGTTATGATGTTTTGGTTATGTTACAAAGAATTTTGTTCCATTTTGGAATCCTCCTTTCATTACGAATGTCTTTTTTCTAGCCCTCTTACGATTAATTTACGAAATTTTTGTCATCTTCTTTTCTTTTTTGTTATTGTTGTTGTTGTTGTTGAAACTTCACGATACGTTCTGTTTTATTGAAAGATTATTCTGGATCGAGAAATAAATTGTCAACGTAATGGTATAAATATTTTGTTTGTGTATATATATATATTTATTATATAAAAAAAATAATTAAATTGTTAAACAATATGGTGGATTGTTTTACTATTTGCAACACCGCTTGCATCGCATGTATCTGGTGTTTTCTTTTATCAACTTGGTACAAATAACCTAATTAATTTGTGATCTTGGTAACGATTTAATATTAATTAATTAAATCATATTTTCATTTTATTATAATCATTTTCTTTTTTCTTTTTTTTTTTTTTATATTTTTCTATATATCAGTTATCCGAAATTTCGTACGAATTTAATACGAAAAGATTCCAGCGATTGTTATATCTATCAAATGGACAAATTTAAGAATCCTGGCAAATAATCAAGAATTTCTAACAGCGAATCTTATTACTTCCGATTCACTGCATTTTTTCTTTGCAAACATTTTGAATGACTCTTATTTGACGAATATCAATAGGAAAAAAATTTGGAAATTTATTAAAATGTAAAATAAAGGACGAGAAAAGTGTTCCTTTTTTTCTTCTTCTTCTTCTTCTTCTTCTTTTGTATAATTATTATACTTTTTTTTTGTCTGTTTATTTAAATATATATTCACGTATATGAGATCTTTGTTTTTTTTTTTTTAAAAAAGGAAAAACTTTATTACTTTATTAAATATTATTATTATTATATATCGTATAAATATATTCTAACGTATCGTAGAACGTGAAATTTTGTCTACATTTGTATCAACGCAATCGTCAAATTTATTTATTACATTTAAATCGAAATTTTTATTTTTCTCAATAATATCCTGCGCAGGTATAACCGTAACCTTTGCCGTAGATACGTCACCATTATTGTCAACTAATTGTACTATTTTTTGTATGGTTGAAAATTCCATTACAACGGTAGACTTGTTGGTGTCGTCGGTGGTTTGAGAAATTTTCGATATTTTTTTTCTAACAATCGTGGGATCTTTATTTCTCATTGATAAGCTAATAATAATAATAGTATTTTTTCTTTTCGTAAATTACATTTACATTACAATAAAATAATTTCTTATAAAAACAGGAATTAATTATTAAACATATTGAAAAACAATAATATTACCTCGTAGGAGATGTTTTTTTGCCATTATGTTTTTTATACTCGGACAAATATCTAAGCTTGCTTTTAGGCTTAGGTTCACTCGTATCTTTCCTTTTGTATTGTTCATCGTTATTCGTGTAGGATCTACTATTGCCAAAAACATGATTTCTGTCGTCTATGTCTAGGTCTACCTTTCCTTGAGGTAATATTTTCTTGGAAACGTGACAACTCGAACAGCTTTTCGATTTTCTTCTCATATGAGACCTAGAAGTTTGACGAGAAGAAATCTTTCTGGCACAACAACGATGATTCCTATATTGCCACCTAAAAAATATTTTCAAGTTCATTCGCTTTTACGTGTACCGATAATTATTATATAATTATCATAAAAATTCAAAAGTAACTTCTCGAGATTAAGATAAGTAAGAACAAAAAATTGATACAAAGTGATACCATGATTTATATTTTTTACAGAACAATTATTTATATTATTAATATTACTCTGTAGTATATATCATTATTTTTATATATAAATTACCATAATGCACACGTGGTCACAGTCGAACTGAACATGAAAAAACAATTCAAAACTGTCAACACTATTAATGGCTCCAACATGATCGATCAATTATTTATATCACATATTTTATTCTATCGACACAAAAAAATAACATTCATCTATCGTATTATATTAACGTTAAATCGTATCGAGATATTAGGTTAATGAAATTTGGAAATAATTATTTGACGAAATATTCGCATTCATTTGTAAATTAAATCTAATAAAATAGATAACAAATTAAATATATATATATATATATTTAAAAAAATAAAATAGATAACTTCACGGTATAAAGTGTAAATGACAATAACAATAAATAATGTCTCT